CGAGTTACTGGTCCATAGTTGATTTTTTGCCAGAATTGGCTTCAAATATAGGTACGAGTCCAAGGTTTTCAGTATCGTGAATAACGGTATTCCGGATTGTCGATATCGCTTTTCCTTCTTTTTCATTAGAATAGACTTGTTGGGACTCTTCAAATTGTCCCAAATCATTAGTTTTTACAAGTTGAGAGCACGGTTCAAAAAAAAATTTTCCTTGTAGGATTTTTGGATCCAAACAATTCTCCCAATTCTTGTTTGATTTTTTGAGAATTCAAAATAATCGGGTGTAGTGTTTTTTCTTGAGTAAATTTTTGAAGAGATAAATGATCGGATGAGGAGAAATGAGAGAAATGATTATGAGTTTAATTGAAAATGGATCTAAACAACATGAGTGATCGCAATTGCCATATATGGAATTAGTACTAAATTTGGAAAATTTTATATGAATTTTCCCTAAATTAAAGTAAAAAATTGTATTTTTTTTTGTTTCCATCGAGTTTTACAACAAATACATAGTAACTCAAAAATATAAATATGTGTCTACCCACAAATCTTTATGTTTCTTTGGAGATTTGTTAGTTCCATTTGGTTTTAATTTGATTATCTTTTAGCCAAATTTTTTCAAAGATTAGCTAAATATATTTACATATATCAAGAAATTGCCTGTTTTTACACTTTGTGCAAACACATATTCCATGCAAGTAGTGTTACATTCAATCAGCTAAGTCCAACATAACTTACGATAGGGAAGGAGCTAGAAAGATTCCTAGTATTGCAAAGAAACGACTATATCGGAAAAAATTCAAGTGACATTATCTAGGTTCTAATCAAAGCTTGCTTCCACACAAACTCAAAGTTCAGCGTTTCTGGACAGATTTCGAAAAGTTCAAAATTCAAAATATGAATCTAATTTGTTGAAGATTATTGATGGTTTCATTGATTGTCATGGTTCTGTGAATAGCGATTATGTAAGCTTTGTGATAAAATCATCAACTGTCTTACAATGTTCTCTTAGTAGTTTGTCCTGAAAAGTCTTTAAAAACTACGCTTCGGTTCAGGAACACTAAATTCAAATGAAAAGTAAACCCAATTTACAAACAAATGGGGAACTTAAGTCAATTTTAAAGTTCGTTGACATGTTTTTCTTAATGTGCCACAACATGTTTTCTTCCGAACAGAGCTGTGTTGTCCTGTTAGACCTTCAATTTTTTTTCTTTCACCATCTATCACGTTTTGTTTTCAATTATTCGCCAATCATGTAGGAAAATTCTTAAGGGACTGAAACACTATTTCGTATCTCTGTAGAAGACGTCAAAATCACCCATTTTTTCAAGAAATTGCTATTTCTTTTATTTTTTTTGGTAAGCAAATGAAAACTATCTCCGTATCACAGATCCAAAATTTAATCAAACGATTTTCATTTGAATAATATGAAAACCCGTACTTTTTTCTCAAAGAGGATTTGGCCAATTCTTCTCCAATTTGTCTAATTTTTTACTCTCTAGTTCTCTCCATTCTGAACGATCTATGGTAATTTGCTCACTAGACTGGGGGAAAATTTTTTAAATTTGGAAATCTTGACAATTTCGGTACCAATTTCAAACTGGATGCAGTAATTTGCCCGTTCTCTTATGATTGGTTTCAACTTTTGGGATTGATTTCCGTTTCTTCTAAAAATTGTACTCATGTTGATAGAATGAACTGAACTATAGGAGATTTTCAAATAAAATGAAAAATATTTATTTCAATTGGGAACTTTGATGACTTTCTCTAAAAATATCTAAACTCATTCAAAAAATTTTCATCATTTGGTAGACTTTACTTGTTTAGAAAGTGTTTTGTAGAATAAAAATTTTTTGTTGAATGGTTTTTTAAAAAAGGAAGAATTTCCTTGAAAACTATTACTATCAACCACAACCTTGGTTGAGCGTCCTTATTTAGATTTTATAAACCAGCAAATTAATAAAGTCCACAACTTTTTTCATCATTCTCATCATCTTACAAGTTGTTGTAGAATTCTGAATGTTTAAGTTTTTATTGTATATTTCTAAAATTTAGATGACTTAAAACAATCTAGAAATTAACGACTTCTTAAAAACTTTGAAGATTTATTCTTTAGATTTTTAAAATTAGAAAATTTAGAAGTTAATGAATACGTCAATTTCTCTGATAAAAATTTTCTACAATTTTTACTGTTCTATAAAAAGTCAAGTGTAATGACGTCATTTTCTCAGGTGGAATTGCTTTTTAATGCCAAAAGAAATCAAAAGACACCTTCTTAGCTCTGTCGAGAATCATGTCAGACGCTTGGATTTGCTTTTTTTCAAATAATTTTTCTAATGATCTTTAAAAATTTCCTACAAAAATCTTGCCAAAGTGAACTTTTATCAGTTTTCAACATATAAATCTCTTTAGTTTTTATTACGTGTGCCAAAAACTCTCTCAAGACGTTTTGCAAGATGCTTAAAAATTTCGAAACCTTTTTTCAAATTGAAGAAATTGTTTTGATTTTTTCACAAGTCTGCAAAATTATCTAAGATTTTTTTTTGGTAAATGCAAGTTTTTGCTTGGTTTTTTCAAAAATTATGCAAAGTTCTAACTTTTTTTCCTAAATGATTAAGCATGTAACGCAAAAAATTAATGTAAGAAACATTTTCATTCATTGCTTAGAAAATTTCGTTATCGATGAGTTTCATCGCTATTCCCTATGTTAATACATTGGTTTTCTATTGTTTCTGATCAACAGATATGCAAAAGTTTGTTTTCTAAAGGATTCATTTTTGAACAGATATTTCTTAAGTTTAATAATTAACTGCGCAAGAAAATTGTATGGATTTTGGCAAGATGCTAAGAGTTTGGCAAGATGCTAAGAGTTTGTTCCACTTTTTTCAACAGAAAACGAAAAGTATTTAAATTTTTTCAGCAAAATGTAAAAAGTGTTTCACTTTTTTCCTACAAATGCGCAAAGTACGAATTAAAGTCCAGACGCTTCACTTTTTCGACAAAACGCGAAAAGTTTCAAATTTTTTGAGTAGATGCAAAAAGTGTTTCACTTTTTTCAACAGGAAACGAAAAAAGTTTCAATTTTACAGCAAAATGAGAAAAAAAAGGTTTTAATTTTTCCAAGCGTATGTGAAAATATTCGACTTTTTTCCTACAAAAGCGAAAAGTGTTTCGATTTTTTTTTACAAATTGCGTAAAGTGTTCCAATTTTTTTTGAGAAGATGCAAAAAGTGTTTCATTTTTTTGACAGATTGCCAAAAGTGTTTCACTTTTTTCCTACAAAAAGACTTTTTTGACAAGAAGCAAAGAACGTTTCGCTTTTTTTCGACAAGATGCGAAAATGTTTCACTTTTTTCCTACAAAATGCGAAATTGTTTCATTTTATTCTACAAAAGGCAAGAACTGTTTGAGTTTTTTTTGACAAGATGTAAAAAACCATCAGGTAATTTTTACTCGTGTACAAATTTTCTATTGTCTTTTTGTCTATTGTAGCTGCAAAAATTAATCAAGTTTCTTAACAAGTGCGCAAATTTGAAGCACTAAATTAAATTCTAATTGTTTTTCAATAATTTACACTGAACTTCTTGTCTATTCTTACAATTAAAATGAAATCGAAGAAATTCTTTACAAAGAACGAAACAAATTTCAAACATCAAATATTTACAAAAAAATATCCAATCGAAAAGCTGTCGAGAGTTCTGGGGGTTCACTATAGAACGCAGAGCAAGACGAGGTTGTAGTGGTTGTTGTGGAGCTGCAGGCGTCATTGTTTCTAAAAAATACTCATTTTCATCTATCCCTCATCTCCCAAGGAAAAAGGAAATCGTCGACTGGTTGAGCCACATATCTAGAGTCAGGAGTGTCGGGGTAGTTCATTCCCACATGCTCAGCCATTTCCTCCATCCTTTCATCATTTGCATTTCTCCAAATTGGTTCTCTATCATAGGAACTTGCGTTATATGATAATCGTTGAAATCCCTGCGCATCACTTCCACTATGTTCCAGACGTGAATATGGATGTCCATTTGTGCCAAAAACACTCCAGAACTGTTTCTCGCACTTGAAATTGTACTAGATCTGGCGAAAATTCTACCGCGAACATAAGGTTGCTGTTTTGCACTGAGAAGATCATTTTGATCAATAAGTTGAGTAAAAGAGTAAGAACAAGATGGATTTGGAGCTGAGAGAGGAGGTAGTTGGCGGTAGTTAAGTTGAAAACAAAAATTTTTTTTGTTGTTATGAGTGAGGGCTACCCTCAACTCCAATGTGTGGGTTAAACCAATCAGACTTATTTTTTTATTTGGTCTGTAGTCGTGTCCAATCATATTTCAGCTTCCTTTTAAAGAATTTTCATATAAAAAATGTGTCCTTTTGCTTTGAAAAATTCATCAAATTTGAGTTATTCTCTCAAATTTACATGAAAATAAAAAACTTGACTATCTACTCAAAAATCAACAGCTTCTCATTGATTACATACAATCAATTCAAATAAATTGATGCAGAAAAATGTGGAAAGGCTACTTGTATGCTATTATTTTGTTACTTATATCAGCAATATTTCTTATTTTTACAGCAAATAACTTTTGGACATTCATTTTTGCGTTTGCTTTTGTGTATGTTTTTTTTTATAAGGTTTAAGTCCCTAAAAGAGTTCTCTGGTTGGATACACCGCCATAATATAAATGACAAATTTCCTGATCGGAAACGATAATGTAAAAAAGTAGCTAAAACTGATCTTTGTTTCCGATTGGACACGGTTTTTTTATAAGAATTTCATTTAAAAAAGCTGAAATCGGATTG